AAAGAAAAAGGGCAACTTAAAAGGGAGAAACATGAAACTCAAGGACACTGAGAAACTAAAAAGCATATGGATAGCCCCTAACTTACACTTTGAAGAAAGACAAAAACAGAACAGTTTGGAAAATTAACTAAAAAAAATACAGGAAAAAAAATGGGGTTGGAAAGCACTGGTACATCCCCAAGGACAGACAAGAACTCACTCCTACAGAGTATGCTTGTTCACACAAAGAAAGTGATGATATCCCCGCACAGTGGCATGGGAAGGATCTGCTCCCCTAGAAATGAGGCAAAAGACTGCACTAAGCAAATATAAACTTTAATATATAGCAATAAATTAGACACAATGAAAGGAAAGAAAGAAATTAAATTTTTGAATCTTTCATAATATCTAAGATACAAAGTTTATGCACTAAAACAAATCAAACAAAAGTAGCTTATCAAGATGATATAGCAGCATCAACACTTAATTAATCAGTTACAGCTTCACAGAAACATACTTGATTAAGACATAAAAGACAAAGAATTAAAGATGAAATATTTATAGAGATAATGTAAAGAGACAGAAACACTAGATCTAGAGGTGGGATAGCTTTTTACATTACAAAAGATCCTGCACCAAAAAAAGAACACAGTGATAGAATATTCAAATAACACTGTGGAAGTGCCAGGAGTCTTCACCAAGGACACACAGGAGCCATATGTCATATACAAGCCACTTGACACAACAAGTTTTCATTAGTGAAGCACTGAATTTTGTTTGTCATTATATCAAAACTGCAAAGGACCAAAGTATTACAATAATAAGTGACTCCAATTTTCCCTTCATTGACTGGGAGGCAAAGATATCTTAATAAGGAGCAAATGCTACCTGAGATGAGAAAGAGCAAGCACAGTTGCTGCTAGATTTTGAGGAGGACTTCAACCTTCACCAAATTATCAAAATGCAACATTGCTTCTGTTCGTACGGGAGAGGAGGTAACAAAATATCACTCAGACCACAACGCAATTGAAGTTATACTAAATAAGTTAAGAAAACATAGATGGGGAAAACCAAGTAACAAAGGTATGTAACAGTCTTAAATCATTGAACTTCAACAACAACCAGATAGACTGGGAAATGGTAATAAAACTCTAAAGGCCCTAAAATATTGAAACTACAAAAGCCTGATGACATTCTGAAAAAGTTTGATGATGCCTATAGAAATGTTTGTAAAAGATGTTTGCAGAAGCAAAAATCTTTTCTCTAGAGAATAAAAAGTACTGTTGTGAAAAGAGATGAACAAAGTGTGAAAACAATATATCATAACTGATTATGACATAAAGGATAAAGGAAATAAATTGGTTAACCAATTGGATCCAGGTTCTTCGCTGTCCCACACATGTAGCAAGATACATGGCTTACTTAAGCAGGTACTCTGACAAGTGTGTGGCTTTACAGTTATCTCTTTAACTACAAAAGCATTTTTTGCTTTCTTGCCATAATCTAATATCTTTATTAGTCATTTAATATACTGAATCCCGACGATAACAACAGACTGTTTTCCTTGTATCGACTCTATATCAATTCTATTGGTAGTCCTTATTGCAGGCAAAAATAATAATACAAAGTAACTTTTTTTTTTTTTTTTTTTTTTTCTAATAATCAATTTTCTGTAATACAACCTGTGCCACCAGTCATGGCAGGCAGAAACATGATCCTGGGATTAGAAGTAGTATCCTTTCTGCCAGTGCCCTTCCAGTCATGGTTCACCAATGGTATATTCCACTCATTTATCCATGGAAATAATGCAAAAGCCCCTTCCTAAATGCCCAATGAGTCTAATCATCCTCCAGGAGCTTTGAGCACTCATGGTGAGTGATTTTTATTTTTTTCTCAGCCTTCAGCCGAAATTTTCACTACGGCAAGGTCCCGTCACCCAGCCCTTAGCCAAATTTTTCCATGATAGCATGATCATGTCCCCACCCCTCAAACTAAGTATTTTCCTGATGTGATGGTTTTGTTATCCTGATTAAGAGGGTCTATTCATAATTAGAAAAAAATGAAGAAAAAGAGTAATTAAAGCTATGGAGAACTGCAAAATATTTCTATGCCAAAAACAAATCTAAGAAAAGCTTGAAACCAGGGTCACCTCAAAATGAGGGTGTCTTAGTAACCGACTCGAAGGTAAGTGCTAAACTCCTCAAACAGCAATATGAATAAGTTTTAGTGTGCATAACCCACTTACGACAGGTGTCCCATATATGAGACACCCTGAAAAGTAAACATTGCCGGGCATCCCTCCGGTGCGATGCCAGATCGGAACTACCCACTCTGATTTTGTCCCCCATGGCACATGGGGAGGTTGCCGGATTCACCCATGTGCAGATTTTAAAGCCGCCCGGAAAATATTACTTTTGGCTTATAAATGTACCATCGCTAGTGGGTTAAAACAAAGGCAATAATTCCAGACCCTGATAATAATAAGACACAAAGACTTTCGATGAAAGAGACATTCCTGAAG